AGGTAGATGAAGAGATGCACTACGTTTCCAGAAAGTTTGAAGGTCAAACGTCAAGGGAGTCAAAAGTTATTCAGGGTCACCGAAGGGGACACCCCTTCTAACCCTAACCCTACCCCTTTTGGGTTCAAGCCATTTCTGCCTCTTCTGCAGCGTGGGGAAATATTCCCGGGTCCACATTCTCCAAATACATCAGCAGAGTACTGTGCTTGTTTCCATCTTCTCTGAACACTTTCATATGCTCTCCAGTCGCTGTGTAGTAACACAGCCGGCCACGAAGGCCTTGACGAAAGGTTAGGTCTTGACCTGTATTCACAATGAAACCACATAAATAGTAGTCAACCTTGTCTTTCTTTCATTGTGCACTCGCATGATCACAACCCAAACTCTGGACCAACTCTTGCTGTAACAAAGTAATGTACATATAAATAAAAGCAGTATAATACCAGTACAAAAACAATTTATGCCTCTGAGTACGGTCATTTTTTAGAGTCTGGTCCAACCCTACCTTAAAAGCTCCAAATATCTCCAAAAATATAAAATACTAAATTATTAACTGGGTATTTCACTTCAACTAAATCAACTAAATTTTGTTTAGTCGTGTACACGTAGGTTTAACGGGGTTACAAGATATACTGCTTTCTTAATTGTCTCTGCAGTAGAGGTGAATTTAATCTTTCTTTTTTTTTGTTAGTCCACGTACGTAGCAATATAGGAAGTGAGTGTGTACCCCTGTGTAAAGAGGCATGCAGCTCTATGACCAGACATGCTTAAGGTCTTTTTTCAGTAAGTACATGTAGGTCAGCAGCCAAGGAGTGCACATATGCATATGTACTGCTCTGAAAGATGTGTAGGACCTGCAGTGGACGTGGTTATTGAAGTTTGATTGTAATTGATTTGTGCCTTTTCTTGCATACTGTGTTTAGTTTGATTTGGTTTTCTGGTTTTTTTGGGGGGTCGTTATTTTCTTAGTAGGCCTACATGGTTCTTTTTTTTATGCTTCTATTTATTAAGAGTGTTTTACTAAAAGGTTAAGGTTTACTGGGTCTGACAAAAAATTGAATTTCCAGGTCTCAAGTTTACGGTCTGAGGTATTTTCACTAATTTGGGGTTTTTTTGCCTGTCTTTGACTTGTCATTTTTGTTACTTTTTTGTCGGTTAAAAAGTTACTTAATAGATTGCAGGTTTTTTTTTCTAGATTGGTTCTTGGTTGTTGAATAAAATATTTTTTTCTTTTGACTTTTTTTTTATATCGAACACTTTTTCTGTCCTGTCTAATTTTTTTGAGAAAGACCTCGCGCTTTGTCCTCTAGTTGATCCCTAGTTGAGTAGTCGTAGTGCAAGCGATTTCCCCCCAGAGTTGTCTTCTTCTAGTGTTCCATTTTTCTAGGTTACATCTCGTTTAAATTAATGGTGTAATTAATGTGCTGTTTGTAATCATGTGTATCATTCCTAATCGGGGTCCCTCCCGACAAGCACTACTGCACTGCTTAAGGACTTTTAAAGAACTCCATTTACATGTACACAGCTGTTGTGCACATGTCGTTTCACGTGATCCGACAGAGGGGGTTTCCCCGATTCCTTACTACACGTCGACGTTGCACATTCCACGCGTAGCATGGCACCTTCACGTGTCATCTGGATGACGCGCACGAACACGACACAGTTTTCAGTCCTGAAACATCGAGTCAGGTTCGGGAGTGTTCTTATTGTACCTGCAAAATAGGAGAGGGAAATTATGACGTTTGAAGAAGAATTTGATGTGAGCTTCAAGGCATCAAGAAATTGCACAAAGTGAGTATTTCAACATGGTTTCAATTATCTAATTTTACAGTGTCAACCGACGTATTTTTAGGACAAGTATAGGGCCTAATGTACATGTACAATGTTAGCGCGTGATTGCATCATGGTTGAGCAATGAATTGTGTGATCCCGACGGCACGATGTAGGCTACTAGACTGTACATGTATCAGGTGCAGGGACTATCGTGCATGGTCTGTTAGCATGTTATGTTTTAATTCCTCCATAGTTAGCGAGGTGTAGTCAGTCCATTAGCCGGGTGTCGATCACTTCATGAAGGCTTTGAGGTCACTTGACCCGTTTCCAGTCCACTTTGCCCCAAGTCATCCACTTTGCCCATGTCGTTTCGCCCCATCTGCAATTCTCCCGATCCCCACTTCACCCCAGCCGTGCTTGAACGTGTTGGAAAATTCTGGCATGAACAAGGTGTTTTAATAAAACTAGAATTGGAATAATGAAAGAAATTATCATTCATTAAACTTTTCACCAAAGTTTGTCCAAAGTCTTCTATGGATCCCCCATAGTTCTAGTCAACGTCTTCTCTCCTAATTTAATCCTTTTGTTTGAGCACAGTTTGAGCCACTATGCCTTCTTTTGTGAACAAACTTGACTTTCAGAGAGAGACATAAAAAAATGCACATTTTTCCTTTTCGTTTTCCTTCAGCAATTATATTCACTTGATATACAGTAGTCAAGAATCACAGCAACCCTGAGGCTTTGATAATCCTACATTGGTTAAAGTACATGTATAGGCATGTGCAATTACAATTTCAGCAGAAATCTTCAATCCTTATGGTGACAAGGAGTTCACTGCATTTAGGCCTATTGCCTTGCGGTGTGACATGACTTGATCCGTTTTGATATGGTAGGATGAGAATGTTTATTGTAACAATTTGCTTGGCAAATTACATGTACAGTGTACCTACATTTGAACCTTTACTTAGATTGGTTGGGCACATAAACTGTTGATGTTGCACCCTTTCCCAGTGGTGAAAACTAAATCCACAAACGTTAAAGTTTACATTGGGGTAAAATTTAAATGGGGCAATGTGGTTGGGGGCAAAGTGGCAATGAGGCTAAAGTGATCAGCCATGTCAGCACGTTCACGAGATGTTTCTCAACTATCAGTATTTCTCTTTTTCATCTGTAACTACAAATGAAAAAAGGCTTGTGGCTGATGTGAGATCAATGTCATAAAAGATGTTGTTTCAGACAGTCTTCAACATTGTCAATTCCACCATGGAACTCCATGATCCCACATACAGTAGGACCTTTTTTTCATCATTTTCACAAATCACCCTATACTAATCATTGTGGAACGACCCTCTCGAGTGAAAATTTATAAAAAGATCATCTCTATGCTACTTGTCATTGGTTTTACTGTACATCCCCTTTGGCCTCGTGTTTACATTTGTGAAAATGATAAAAACAAAAATGGATTGGCCTCAACCATTTAAACTACCATAACTATACCAATATGCCTACGTAATAAATTTTCTAATTTTAGCATACCTTTTGGATAAACTTTTTACTACTCCTCTGTGCTTGGCTTACAAATTTAAAGTGGCAACAATTATACACATTGAGTATATATCTAAGTGACCTTGCTCTTCAGATGTATTTAGTTGGATGAATAGTGAAAGAAACGCATTGATTGTTGCCCATTGTTTGTGCAGTTAGTGACTCATCACCTCATTCCCAGGCTAGGTTCATTCTTTGCTGATTGTACTCTTAGATTATACATGTAGATGTCAATAGTTCTACTCTCATACGTGTAAATGCCAAAGGCCCATTTGTCTACATGACAATCTTCTATTGGAGACATGGGATAAACTAAAAAAATGAAAATTTTGTTAAGGGAGTTATTATTGTAAATGTGATTTGTTGGCACGGTAGTGCTCTGATGTCTCCTGTATTTGTGGGATCTGCCTGCAAATTTGTATTTTCAAGTAATTAAGTTAAATGTGTTATACATGTTGGTATGTGTAGAGTCCATCAGTTACAGTAAACCAGAAAATAACAAGCAGAATTATCGTTGAAACGTATACCTGGTTTAAAGATGTTGATGAGACTGAACTCCCTGTGAAATTATTCTTTCTAAGTTATTCTTTCTATTGAAGACAACAGTGAAAGACAGCCATTTCCAATGATTGTGTCTAATGACACACACGAAAAAAGAATCACTAGAATTGCTTGCGAGCATTGACATGACACACGTGTGAATGTTATTACGGCATCCTTCGGCACCCTTCTTTAGATTTTGATGAATTTTGTTGCCTCAGGGGAACATATGAAATGCATTCAAATGACAGATGATGGACTGAACCCTTAACCCTAAAAGAGGCGAGGGGTGGAATCCACATTGAATTTAATCAAGTCAATAATATTTTTCCATGTTACCACAGCAACATGATTTCAATGGATGCTAGAATGGCATTGCGGGAGCTCCTCCTGAGTGCAAAAGTTGAAGGACGCATCACTTATGGAGTCTACCCATCAGTCAGAAAGCTTGGCAGGTCAGAAATAATAATTTCAATAATCTTCAACTGTATAGCAAATGCAAAAATATATTGCTAAATTGGTACTGGTTTCTCCTTTGAAGAAAAAGCAATGCTTGCACAAGAACAGGCTTTTACTTGACCATGTCATAAGTTTTTCTTCTTTTTTGCAGTGAACCCAATAAAGTAATGCTCTGTATACACGCTGATAACAATGCTGATGAGGATGTTGCCCTTCACATCCATTTCACACTCATGGAGGCTTTCTGTCGGGAGCATCACATACGACTGCTCAAGGTTTGTTGATGCCATAGGGTTCTGTTTGCATAGGGATGGATTGTCATAAATGAAGCATTCAGTCAACTTTGAAAGTTATGTAGGTTTTAGCTAAAAAGTTGAAGCATTTGACTAACATACATGTAGCATTATGTTGTTATCAAGGGCGTTTGTATAGTACATGTACATATAAATTGAAAAAGCAGGTGGAATTTGTTTACAGTGGTAGAATATGCAAAAGTGCTTACTTCGAACATTGCATGTGTGATGCAATGTATGCTGAAGGTTTTAATTGGAACATTGCAGAATGAATGAAAGAAATAGCCTACATGTACTTGAACAATTAAAAGATTATTCATTTACAAAAAAGGTGAAATAAGTAACAAATACACACTCTTCCAGGAAACCTGTGACTAACTCCTTTGACTGGGGGTTTTATACACCATATGTGCACAAAGCTAGTGGGGAAAAGAACTGCCAAAACAGTCATTATGTAGAATGGCTTCAAATAATTTTTTCACGAAATATGTGAGAATGAAACTCTCTGGACTGTTGGAAGTATAAGTTACATGTACGCAGGTACTTTTCAATATTAAATGACTCAAGATTAATGAACAAGATTTTCAAATGGCCAAAAATTCAATCAACAGAAATAATGGGAAAAAGTGTTTGTCAAGGTTTTTTCAGAAACATGGTGAAAGAACAGCATTGTAGTATGGCACAACAGTTGTGACTATTTTTTTTCAATATACATGCAGGTTGATTGCAGTGAAAACCTGGCAAAACTTCTCCATAACAATGATGAAGTGAATCACGTTTCACTTGATACCTTGGATAATTGTCGTGCTCCTCATCCTCGCCATAGAAGCAATAGTGAAGATTTTGTCTGTCTTCTTGTAGATGTAAGTTGGTGTAGTTTGTTAATGTAATATATTTTGTAATGAAAATGCACTGCTGATAGCTTAGATTACAATGTTGGTATGGATGAGGGACCTGCTATTACCCATATTATCTACCATGTTACTCTGCACCTTTTACATTCCTTGAATTTCTGTCCCAGTTGAAAAGTAACTGGCCTACACATTGTTTGCCTTCATGGAAGCTCAATGGATTGTACCTTCCTGTACCATTCTAGGAAGCCTTTAACTGTTGACCTTGGAACGTAGCTCATCAGTGGGCCACAACAAGGCTGTGTGGCAGTTGATCAGCATTGAGCTATGGTACTATTATTGTGTATTGTACTTTACATGTACAGCTTGTGTGCACATACATGTACATGTACACACACACCCCCACATACCCAGTGTAGTTTTCAGTGCTCCAGGATTACATGTAAATTATTCCCGGGGGAAACGTATTACATGTGCTTACATTTATGCCTACAAACCCAAAAACATACAGGTACCTCTTTGTGTCTTCACCACAGTCAAAAGTCAGTAACAGGTTTTTAGTCGAAAATTCATATTATTAAATGCAAGTGAGCTTTATCTGCCTCAGCTTTGTGATTTTGTTCAACTTATTCAAGTATAAAAACAGCAAATTTTCCTCACTTCAGGAACAAGTAATCATCTAAATGTACATGTACATGACAAAACATGTTTTTCCTACCTCCTTTGTTGGGGTGGGGGTGATTGACTGGCTATTTAAAGAGGCAAATAAGAGAAACAAATAAGAAGGCAAGCCTTATTCAGTTTGTTTTGGATGAAGGTGTGTTTCAATTTCAATTTTTAAAATACCAATTAGAAATCAAATGTTATAGAACAAAGTCATAAAACACAGAGAATTTGATCCAACTAGGGAAAGAAATCATGAGTACATGAGTGGACTGTATAGATAAATATGGTATACATCATTCATTTAAAGAAATGCAAGATAAATGTGTCACTAGAGATACATCCACTTGGAGGGTATTTGGAGACAGTTGGATTCATCTACGTTTATTGAGAATCAAGCTGCTGTTTGTAATGTTGGATATTACTCTTTGAGCTCTTCTTGAATGTTTCATTGTATTTTCATTAATTTCAGATAAAGATTTTAAATTTTTAGCTCTTATTTCCAACCCTAAAAATAGCCGAAACCAAAATATGATATTCCAAACTTGTTGCTGAGAAATTTCATTTGAAATTTTGCAGAGGTTGTTAAAAACTATGATAGAAGGCCAAATTTTCCCCAAAGTTCTGCATTTATGGTTGATAAGAAAACTTTGTCCAGTACAAGAAAAATAGTAAGGTCTCCTCAGCATTTCCAAATACTCCCATTATTCCTTTGTCAAGACAAATAGGGGTGTGATCTTGCTAAAGTTTTGGTTCAGGACACCAGACATGATTTCCATCGAATGGTTATATCGGGTTACCCGAGGAATCAAATTAAAATTAATGAACAAAAAGATAATTTGGAGCTTGACATGATGTTTATAATGTATAAAAAAAATTCCTTGTTCATCTTTCAGTTTTGTGATACTCTTATGCCTTACAGTTTCCCAAGGAGATTGATGCTACTACAGGCTGCTTTCTTGAACATTATCATGTCATGGCCAAGGAAATGCCCTTTCCGCACATCTCTGTTGCATCTTGAGGGACAAATGTAAGAGTGTGGTACAACAAGCCCCCTCTGTTGACTGAAGAAAAAGTACAGTTGGACTGTGCCAGTTGCGGAAAAGTGTGCTATGTTAAACAGAGAAGATGCATGTGTACTTTGTTGGATAGCATCTGCCACTTTGTTCAAGGGAAGGCCATGTGTACTTGGGGAACACCCCTGAAGGAGAGTGGAGAACATTTGTGTCATCATAGCAACAGGAGAATAACACGTGGCAGAACAGAGGAAAAAATACAGACCTTTAAATGTATTAAAGCGCCATGAAAAATACAAAGTTGCACTGAGGAGTCCAAGACTGAGTGAAAAGCAACTCCACTAGCCACTAGGCTAATTCAGTTAATTTACTTGTTTAATTCAGGAGGTTGCAGCATCTGTTTCTGGATTTTGTTTTAAAAGTATCAAACAGGATTTATTGGAATCGAACTGTATTTCTCTTTGGAACACAGTTGTTTGACAACAAATTTAATGGTGATTTTGTTCATTCCTGGTGGATGCTGCAACAAATGTCATTGTTGAGGCACTTGGACATACAAATGTATACAGTATCAAATTCTGAGTTCAGACTTATCCAACAAATGTGATAAGTGATTCTTGTTGCTTATAAACTGTTTTTAGCATTGACCAGCAAAAAGAACATAACATGTACGTGCACGGTATCAGACCTTGTATAACTTTTAATCTAGAATGAATGCTTTCAGATCAGGATTTCTGTTTTGTTCGAATTCATTCATCCTTGTTTTAATTACGGGTGACTAAGATAGTATTCAGACGAATTAAAGTTCTCCAAATGCAGAGGTTACCTTATGCCTTGAAATTACATTGTAAGATCGATCAATTGTGGTTAGGTTTATGAAAGACCTGCATGTTTTAGAATAAAGTAAATACGTGTAATATAGCATATTTATCATATAGCAAAAATATTTATAACGTTTATGTAGTGTATTCAGCACAGGGGAAATATTCTAAAATTGACTGTCAATTCAAAATTTTCTGTCGTATGTTCCCCAAAGCAATCTGTTTGGAATTGGACTATAAAATTTCCATTGTTTGTGTTATAGAATAATTCCCTTCGTGCATCACTACACCGTGTATATTAGTCAATTGAAATAAATGCTTTATTCAATTTAAGTAGTTTGACACACAAGTTGTGTGAAAATGTTCAAATTTGAGGATTGAAGAAAGACGCAGTTAGGGTATCAGTCACCATGACAACAGTGCAGCTTATTGCTAAACAATGTACATTCATTGTCCTGGAGTAAACATTGAAAGAAACGAGTTGCAGTTTTCATCGAAACAGAGGAGAAATAGTAAAACTGATTCAACAAAATCTTCTCTTGGTCAAAGTGTCCAAATAGCTATTGTGATTAACTGACCATCGTGCAGTCAGGAAACAAGGAAACTGAATAGGAAAGATAGAGGTTTATGCTTAGAGCTAACAGTACAAAATTTACTTTTGGTTTGAGACAGGCACTTGTTTGACATACATGTACTGTATAAACACCGACATTGATAGGCTCATTACCCCCGTCTCCCTGAACTGTATTGTAAAATGTGCGTGATAAATTGTTTCCAAAATTCGTCCCCTTTTGGATTCTTGGTGGTTTGCATGTAATTTGATTAAACTTTGTAAAGAAATTTGGGATAGTGAGTTGCTTGATTCGTGAAAATACTTGAAGGGATTAGAGAACCTCAGATAAAAGAATCCCAAAATTAACCAAACAGTGGTGTTTGATTAACTGGACTTATACTGCAGCCCTTGCATTAAACGGCGCCCTGATGTCATGATACCTCTGTTAGTTTCATCAATGTCATACTTTTCCCAAATATTTCATTGAAGCACTGAAAATTAGAACAAGTATAGCCTGAAACGAGTTTCTTTCAGCATTTACTTGTTGGTTCTGCATCATAAAACAGTTGTATTAAATATGGCGGATAACGATGTTAGAATGACTCTGAATATCCTTCCACGTAACATTCATTCAGATTTCGTCTTTGACGTGATCTTTTCTTATAAATGGGGTATGACTGGCTTTCCTTAAATTGGAGCAAAATGGATGCAGTTCATTTGAGAAACATATGCCAACAGTTCCTGGTGTGCAGGGAATACTTTCCGTCATTCACCCTGAAACAGCTGGCCTTCCCATCTGTGCCTTTTGAACAGGAGAATAAATATAATATTTTTTCCTAAAAGGCTGTTTTTTTCTTTGACGGTGAGGGTAAGCGCAGATCCAGGGTGGATGACCCTCCCTCGAAAGAACCTGCTCTAAACACGGGAATTAATATGATTAATAATAATAATAGCGGAAGTATTAAGTGCACCAATGCCATATCACATAAAGTATGTAATGTAATGTTTCATCATCCTTTTCGCTTGTCCGCAAAAATAAGACATTGATATAAAAGTAATCCCTGGCCTGACCCCCCCCCCCTTTGGCAAATTCCTGGATACACTCCTGCAGGGTGGTTTTCGAGCCGGTGAATTCCGAATTTGCGTGACATCAACCTAGGCTGAAGATGCACGGTATACGGGTGCAAAATATAGAGAAGGCGTCTCTCTCCGCCGTCTCCGCGTTGAATCTTAATGGGGTTATTTAACTTATTTTGCCTTTCGTGCCCAACTGTCCCGCACAGGATTATTATTATAATGGAACAACCGGAATTGCAGGCTGAACACTGAATTTATTTGTGTAAACATGGGAATGGAATAATTACGCTTGTGCCGTTAACATCAAGCAATAAGTTATACATGTACTTTGCACATACTAACAAAAGGACGACCTTGATTGCTGGTTTGTATAGACCTTTCTCAGCATCTCTTTCAGAGTATTTTATATCTCTGACGATTTGATAGTGACAAAATCTAAACAGTGAGTTTAACTCAGTTTATTATCCGAAGTTGTTCTTAGTTTGCGCATGCCTACCTAGTACCTGGCCAGTATGTGAATAGCGCCCTCATTAATTTAGCATAAAGAAATGCAAGATGTCGGTAAGCAGTGCTAGTAGTGGTGCGTTCCCAACAGGAGAGATCCTTTGAAGGTTTCCTTGCATACGGTTTCTTGTTGAAAAGCAAAGGAGGATATGGATGTCTGCAATACTCAAGAATGAAGGAAGCAATTCAGAGGTAGCTGTATTAAAAGAGCCATCTACTCCTCCTGCCATGCGTGCATTACCACTCCACAAATTCTACAGCATGTGCATAGTCCATTATGACACCCGGTACTCGTCATGCCCGTAAACAGGGCCCGACGAATACTCCTCTGTCGCAACTCGTATCGGCATGGAGGAAGGACACAGGAGTTGTAACTCAGGCACTTCAAAGCGTCCAATGATGGTCGACGCCGAGTCTGACAAATAATAGAAAATATTCCAAAAATGCCATATTGCTGCCTGCATCTTAGCTGGAAAAGTGGGGCCAGTAATACCCTGGCAATACTTGTAGTTTTTTGCTTGCAATTAAATACAAGCTATCGATGTGACCAGGAAATAGAGAGAGAAAAATTCCTGATATTAGACCTACTTTTGCCATCATAAATAAACTTTTTAAATTTTGACACACTGTTTCATTATCCATGCAAAATTTGTAATTCTAGTCTCCTCCGTCCAATATACATCAGTGTCAAAGACTTGGAACAAATTTGGCTAAGACTGGCCAACAAAATGTTCACTACTTCTGGAAAGCTTAGTTCATTAGCAACAAAATGGGCTATTTCATCACAAGGTGTGATCTTGAAATTGCATAAAATACGCCTTTGTACAAATGCCATCATAAAAATGATTCAAACAAAACACAAAATCTTACAAACAGCTTGGCTATTTATTCCTAAAAGAAGTCCAGAAGAAAGCATTCGATAAGGGCAACAACTGCACATGAACACTTCGGGTATACAGCCTAATAAAAGCAACTGCGCACACTACATTTGATGATGTTGTCGGTTCATATCAAGCACCAACGATGGCATGAATATTCATCTTCCTCTACTGCAGTACACAACGTTTTAGGGATGCAGATTACCAACGAAAAATTGCGGCGACGATCATGGGGTACAAAGGGAGCTTATGGTTGCGAAACAGGTGGTGGGTAGCAGGCGTGCGCTGTGCTCTGGCTATGGACATACCAGGCATGCCAGAAAGTGGTAATCGGCCAGATGTTATAGCCCGGGCAGTTCAAACTCCTTCTGTGTCCTTCCTCCATGCTCATATGTATACAGGGCCCTGTCCCGATTCATAGGGATTACTTTCGAAAAGTTTATCTGGGATATCCAGGGGCATAACTAAACATCTGCTTGATTTTATGAGCTGAAATTGCACCGATATGTTCATTACTTACAGTGTTGTAAGCTTTCTGCTTGTTGCTAATTGTAGAAAACTCGCCTTTTCCTCATTTGGAGGAAAAAATGTTGCCTTTTTTTGCCGTTTTCCCACTCTGTATGAATTTTGGCCTGACTTGTACATTACACAGACTCCTTTGTATGGTTAAGTAATTTACAGAAATAAACTGATAGATACAAATGATCATTCTTCAAAATAGTATTACTGATGATCTGAGGGGAACTTGATAAAAGTGTGAAAATTGGTCACTACACGGAAAAAGTCAAAAATGGGTCCCAATGAAAAAAAAAACTGAATTTCGAAGAAAAAGGATTTCTACTTAGAAGTAAACCTAGAAATAAACTTTTTTATTTGTAAGAGTTACTACATGTAGTACTTGCCTAGTCTTTCGTGTGGCATCAAAGTAGTTTGAAGGTAAACCCGCTAAATTTGCAAAAATTAGATACGTTATGGAAAAAAAACAATTCTTTTTCATAAGGCAAAGTAAAAAAAATGTTTCTCGTCCCTGCCTGCTTCCTTTTTGGAGGCCGCCTGGATTTTTTATATTATTTTTTTATTTTTGAAAAATGCAGTAAAAAAACCGAAAAAAAGTCTACAAATTCATCGGAAACTATACAGCATAGACTAAGGGTGTTTTGAAAGGAATTGGTTAGGCTTGGTCTTGGGTTTCTCTGGTTCCAGACAGAGCCTCACATGCAGTTTGGAATAGTTAGAATCAGCAAAGCTGAGGACTAAGCCTCATCCACTCATTTTGAAAATGCACTGAGGTCAGGCACGAGCACATGTTTAACCACTTAACGCTGGATTTTCTTACTCGGAAAAGCTGCTGGGGACGGTTTAGTTTATCCATACATGTACATTCTTTGACCTAGGAATTGTGCCTCGACCCAACCAAGTCATTATTAGTCAACCGCTGAAATGAAATAAAGAATTCTTAAATGAGGATACTCATTCTCCGTGGAACTAATAAGAAAAATTATGCGTGTTTACAAGTCATCCAGCTTCAAGTGGTTACAGAATTTGCTCGTACCGCTGTAGTGTGGTTCCAGATCCCATTTTCATTGATGCATTCAGACTTAAAAATTGGAGGGGAGGGGGCAGGAAACAGTCTAGTGTGGCCGATGTTTTTTGTCACTCATACATACATGCATGCTCATCATAAAGCCTAAATCTTGTTTTGTTTTATCAAAGTGCAAGTCAACAAACTTTTGTCACACGGTGATTGATACATTGCAAGCGACGAGTCCAAAATGTAAAGTCTTTGTAGTAGAAAAAATATAGATTTGTAAAAGTGAACCGACAAAATATATCGACTAGAAAATTACCTCAAATATTTGAAATCAATCTTCATATGTTTATGGAGAAACAAACACATTTTTATTTAAAGCCTGGTAAGTACACTTGAAGGTTTTGACAGTTAACATTTGGTGCTTGATTTTTATCTGTAAAAATCAAAAACAAATCTTGAATTTTGGCAGTTAAAGCAAATGCTTATTTTCCACTTCTTTGATTCATTCCCAGAGGTCTTTCTTTTGCAGAAGCTATTGAATATCACCATGTGATAAATTCTTGGCAATTTATTCACACAGTAAGTCTTTAAAGGCAAATGGCAGTATAAATCCCTCACATGGGTCACCACCATAGGCAGTGTGTCATCTGCTAAAATAATTTGGCAAAAATGATCGTAGGACATAAGGCTACTTGAAATCGTCCTGAAGGCTCAGCACAAAAAATGTTACTACTATATTCTTATACTTTGGTTAGAGATTCTTTAGTGCCTGTATTGATGTTAGCGACTAACAATCCTTATATCATCTTGCACAAATATTGCCTGGCCTAGCACGGAGGAATGATAAAGGAAAGTTTTGCCAGAAAGCAATTAGATGTGCGATACTTAACACAGAAGGCAGAACCTACGGAAGTACAGTGGAGAAGAGCCATGCAACTATTTTGTTTTTCAAATTGCTGTCTCAGAGCAGCAATTATAATTCCAGACCCGACTCACCCAATTACCAAAGCCACACAACAATTTGGAAAAACAAAAAACTTAAGTAGGAATCATGCCCCTCATTGGTTTTTACTTTCGAAATCTGCCAGGTACATGTAGGCAAATCATTGATTTTGTTTAGAATTTGCATAAGTTGATTTAAAGCATATCTAAAAGATTGACCAAATCATTATTTTCTTGCTTAAGTCAGAAAGGCTTCAGAAGGTTAAAAAGCAGAAATTTATGAAGTGGTTTGTTCAGTCAGTTTTGGAATAAATGGAAATCAGGCCAACACTGTAGGTGAATGTCAATTTCTTTCATAAGAATGCTTGTTTTATGAATTTTGAAATTGTTCTTTTTTAACATACATGTACAATGTACCTGTTTCAGATACAAGGAATGCTCTGGTGTGCAACATGCATTTCTTGGATTCTGACACACTCCAGACTTTCCCGGGAAGAGAGAGTTACTTTGACCAGGAGCAATACCTCAGATCTTTCAATGGTTTGAGGAAGCAGATGAGACATCTCCAAGATTTGGTATTGGAAACAGAATTTCCAAGAAATCTGAGTAAGTACATGCAGACAATTTAAAAGTGTTGTTACTTTTTTTTTACTTCTTTACATCAAAGTTGTGTTACAATGCACTTTCTAATGGATGTTTGATGTAAGCGAAACATGATGATTTTGCATCAAGAAATTTTTGAAGAATCTAAAGTATCTTCACATATAACTCCGATGGTTTGCTCTATACATATACCTGTTATGGTTTAAAACCTGTGGCATAGTTGGGTCAGTATTACGGGATAATAAAACATCAGATGGTTTCAAAACACTTTCCTGCTTTCCTATGGTTGCCTCCCATTGTTGGACTCTATCCCTTGACATGACATTCACCAACCTCATAATTGTCATGGGACAGGCATGGGCAGTATTTAATGGAACTGAAACATCACACAACACCAGCATCGCTGCATTCTGCATCTCATAACAGAAATGCACATAGTCCACACACCAATGACCATGTATATGTACTTGTACTGTACATTGTACAGACATTTTAGTGCTGTGTGCAAGAGGTACATGCACAAACCACAGATATGGTAAGATAGGTGTTTCACAATACTTTAAATATTTGAAAAAATTCAACACTGATTGTACGTAAACGGGAAATATAGGAACAAGGCCTTGATGATGGACCAGGCTTTCATTCCCAAACCAGTTTTCAATGATCATTTATAAGTGCTCTTTCGCACTTTCATTCCACTAATCTCAAACTTCCTACAAAAGTTTAAAACATTTCCTCTACTTGTCATTTGTTAGCAGGTCCCAGGATAGTGATTACATGTATGTGGAGAGTATGACATCAAGGAATCCCTCCCAATCTTTGTTTGAGCCATCACAGGGATATTCATGCAACAAGAAGAATGTTAAGAAACTTGATGTAACACTTTGGCAGCATGACCATGATTACTCAGAGCGTAACTATGAAGGTTTTACACATCAAGAAAAATTAGTGGCAGCAACACACTATATAAAGAAACTACAACAACAGGTTCACGATCTACAATCACAGAGATTCTGTCTGGACAGATTCTCCACAGATCCGGATCTCATATCATTCTACACAGGATTTAAGGACTATAAAATTCTGCGTGCTACATTTATTGCTTTACAGCCGACCGCAGAGCGGATGATATGCTGCTCTTTGAATTATTGCAATAGTAACTTTCTACCTGCGAATCATCAATCTTTCTGTCATGGGAGTTTGGCTTTAATTGACCAGTTCTTTCTATTCCTGGTGAAGTTAAAACAAGATCCTAGTGACCAAGATTTGGCATATCGATTTGGAGTAAGTGTGTCGTGTGTAGAACAGGTTATACTTGCTTGGGCAAATTACCTGTATGCTGTCCTAGGAGCAATGCCAATTTGGTCATCAAGAGCTCAAGTCAATGACACTCTGCCAACTGTCTTTAAAACATTGTTCCATAAGACCCGGGTTATATTACACTCAGTGGTGCTAAGAGTGGAAGCTGGTCCAGGACAGAAGCCACATTCTGTAAAAAATGCAAACTGCAATGAAATCACAAGCTGTAAAGGCTTGCTGGGGATCTCACCTGTGGGTGGAGTTTCTTTCGTTAGCACTTTGTTTGCAACTCCCATATCTAATAAAGAACTAACTGTAAGGTCTCTAATCTCACGTGTACTGGATCCTGGAGACCAAGTAGTAGTGGATGAACACTTTCCTATTGAGAAAGAACTGCAAGAGGTCGGAGCTTATCTTATGATTATTCCTTCCCGTCTGAAAAGGAAGAATTTAAACACCCTGTACTCAGAACAGAAACAATGCATTGAAAAACTACGAAGTCATGTTCGATGTGCCATAGAACGTGCCAATGAATATCGGATCCTTGACAATATAATACCGCTTAACATAGCCAGCCAACTGTGGACAATTTGTTGCCTTCTTACAAACTTTAAGGGGCCCTTACGATAAACACAAATGTGTAAATTAAGACAAAAATGTGAATAAGACCAACACTGTCAGTTACATATTTCAACCCAAATATGTTTACGCATAAAAAAGGGTTTGGGCAGTTACTACTGTTCATGAACAATATTCTGGAGGATGGCAAAACAAAACGATTAGTATCCTGTGTTGTCGGTCATAAGTTGATATGGACGTTAGATTAGGCATGCAGTATAATTTTGAGTCACTAATGTTTATGGAATGTAATAATTAGCTTCGTTATTAGGATAAATTTGTTTATGTAAAAGATTTAAAACGTTTGATTTGAAGCCGACCACATTCTTTAAACAATTACTTTTTTCAACATTGATTGCACTTGGTATCTCGACATGAAGATTATCGTTTTAACAAAATGCTGACATAAAATTGAATACAGTTGGTAACAATTTCGATTATGTTGCTTTGATTTGCTCTTCTTTACTTTTCTAGTCCCTTATGTGACCGCCAATGTCTATTTGGTTGCCACTAAAGCACTCTTTGGCAGTTTACGGCGCCACTGCTGTAATCACGTGCAGTATATTCTATGGTACCGCAATGTCCAGCAGAACCGGCTATTTTCTCGTCGAACTATTATGTGTCATTCTACATTTTATTATCTCGGGCAGGGTCGGAGTGCCACATAAGTTGGTGCCACCTGCCTTATTTAGGGCTCACGACTTATTACCTCCCCTGCACATAAAAAAGGTATTTACACCACCTGTCTTGCCGACAGCAACATTTTAAAATACTTTCCAATAACGATTCTTACTCAGTAAAAATGTAATTCCACTCCAATTGTAAAAATAATAAGCATTTATAGAGCGCTGTATTAAGAACTCAGAGCTTTACAAACGAAAGTAATAAATAAATTAAACAATTGACATACAAAAATAAAATGAAGTTGAAACAGATAGTACACTAAATGTGTTTGAATGCCCTCAGTTCGGGAACAAGAACGTTTTGAAGACAGGGGGCTGACGCCGCTTCCCTGATGTCACACAGCAGCTGGTTCCATAGTTCTGGAGCAACAACAAAGTAAGAATTATCTCCAGCTTTTCTGGTGGAGCGTGGGACAACTAGCCAAGTGACATCAGACGAAGACTGGATCGAGTCTACAACCTTCTTCCGGGGGACCAGTATTGTACAGGTTGAGATGTTCAGATGAATAGCTGGGTGCCTCTCCATGAATAGACTTCTAAACGTAAAGAAGGATTTTGAACTTAATTCTTTCTCGCACTGTGAACCAATGGAGAGATCGAAGTAACTGAACTGAGCTGTTTTCTCAGCCACATGCGAACACGACGCGCCGCTTTATTTTGCAGACGCTGGAGATCAACTTCCCGGGCACCATACATCAACGAGTTGGCGTTGTGAATGAGAGAAAGAACTAAAGCCCGGACACTATGAAGATAAGACTCCCGCGTCAGAAATCGGCGAATACGCCGCAGATTATGGATATGAAAGGTCACACTCTTGCAAATGGAATTAATATGACTGGTCATGGACAGCGATGAATCAAACAAAACACCAAGGTTTCTAACACTAGCGGATGGATTAATGGCCATGTCCCTAGTTTTAAGCTGAAGAGCAGGTAGGGAGTTCAGGTTCCTAGTGGAGGCAATAATTCAGAATCCAGTCTTATCCTGATTCTTCTGGTTAACCTATTGCGCATCATCCACGTATTGATCTTCATAATGCACACGGAGAGGTTAGTGAGGGCTCTATCACAGCCACCAAGAACCTTGGGGTTAAATTCTACATAAAGTTGAGTGTCATTAGCATAAACATGAAAACTTATATTGTGGCCTCTGATTATATCACCAACTGGGTGAGTGTACATAATGAAACATTGTGGTCCGATGACAGAGCCTCGTGGCACTGAAAATGTTAAGACATGTTCAACTGACTGAGCATGCCTAACAGACACTCTCGTACGCTGATTATTGAGGTATGATTTAAACCATGCCTTGACTGTTCCTGAAATTCCAAACAATCTTTCAAGCCTGTCAACGAGGATTTGATGGTCAACTGCATCAAAGGCTGCAGACATGACGAGTAAGAACAAAAAGACAGCGTTCTTACGGTCAAGAGACTGGAGAATGTCACTTTTTACCTCGAGCAAGGCCGTCTCTGTACTGTGATGTGTTTTGTAAGCAGATTGGAATTTCTCCCCAAGATTTTTGACGTGTGTAATCACCTGACCTGCTACAGCCTTCTCGACTATCTTCACGATACATTTAATATTAGAGACCGGGCGATAACTCTGAAGAGCATTGGGATCAAGAGTAGGTTTCTTAAGTACAGGGGCGATTACAGACTCTTTGAGGGTATCTGGGAAAACCCCAGATACTAACGAAGCATTGACAATTTTCGAAATGATAGGCAACACACTGGGCAGACCTTCTTTGATACTTTGAACTGTGTCCAGTGAGCAAATTTGCTTAGAAGTTGCTTTATAAGTTGTTCAACCTCTGACTGAGAGAGAGGAGCAAACTCTAACATTATTTTACCTGGATCTAATTGACCGTCATATTGACAATGTTCAGTGACGGTTAGTGGTAAGGCGGTTTCAGAGGTAATTTTCGCCCTGATTCGCTCGACTTTGTCAACAAAAAATGACAGAAAATTATTAGCAAGTTCAATGTCAGAGTCACAAACTGGAAGTGTTCTGGTAGAAGTGTTCAAGAGACCGTTGATTGTGGAAAACGTGTCCTTTGGATTTGCCTCCGAAAGTATTCTTGAAAAGTAGGCAGTCTTGACGTCCTCAGTCAGCTTGCACACCCTGTCCTTCTCGGTAACCAATACATTGAAGTCAGCATCCGATCGACTTATGCGCCACTTGCGTTCCAGCCGTCTACGGGCTCGCCTAGCTTCATGGATGTCGTTGTTGCACCACAGTAGCCGAGATTTCGCGACACGAACCCTAGTGGTGACTGGACATTTGTCATCAAGCACGGCTTTGGTGATGGATTCATATACCTTAGCAAGTAAGCTTGGGTCTTCATCAAGTGCAGTCCCGGGAAGGCGCTCGTCAAGATGATTTCTAAATAGATTTGGATCCATCTTTCCATATTCTCGAGATGTTTTGATGACCGTCATGGGAGAGGGTTTCTGCACTCAATGATATAATGATCAGAGAGCAGATGTGGGTGAATGCATAATGCCTGAACAATGTCATCATCTGCACGGGAAATAATTAAATCTAGAGTATGTCCATAATATGGGTGGGTCCAGTGGTATGCTGACAGAAACCAAGGGCATCAACAATCGACATGAAACGCCTGACATCCGGTTTTTCAGGTGCATCAATATGCAGATTAAAATCACCAAGTACGACCAACTGGTGAGGAACTATAGAAAGTTCATCAAGAAACAGCTCGAATTCATCTAGAAATTCCGAGGTCTTAAGGCTGTTGTTTGATGATGGCGGATGGCGATATACGGCAACAAACTGGAGCGATTTTGACTTATTCTTGACACATACATGTTCGAAGTTACGAGTTTCGAAGACAGACGGAATAATGTGAAGATTGGGGGTGTCTTAAATAGGACACCAATGCCACCACCATAATTAATATCCTTCCGAGGAACAGTCAGAAACTCATAGCCAGGAGGAGTACATTCGCCGATTACCACCGCATTACCTCCTGTAAACCAGGTTTCTGTTACGAATATGGCGTCAGCACCATTTTCAATTACTCATTAAACAAAAATATGAGTTTTATTCCGGAGCGAGCGGGCATTCCAGACATGCACGTTGCGAAAAAAATGCGGTTTAGCCTTCGATACTGGGACGAGGTTTTTGAGGTTTCTCCCATGGTTTTGCCATTAATGATAATAGATTAGGCTGAATCTGATGTCTAGTGCTGGGTCTAGGTCTTTATTCCTCTGGAAGGAAATACGCAGAATCGCGCATTATGATAGACGTAGCTGTAGCTGGGGAAGCCGGTTTCGGACACAGCCTAAGGCGTTCAGTAAGTTAGAGCATTTGCCAGTGAAGTTACTTGCCCAAGATCACAACACGTATTCACTGTGCACCTGTGTGCCCCATGTCCCCACGAGTTGCTCCGTTTTTTATATTTGTGAGTCGTTAAATAGTGTGACTTTAGCGGTGTTATACTAACAATTTATGTTTTTTTTACTAAGGGCGGAACGGGTTTACCCAGTTCCAAAAGTACCCGAAAATGTACAGGCCTACCTCAAGCAGCCACTGGAAATAACCGTAATTCTTCTCTTACCAAATTTGTAACGAGCATTAACTTTTGCAATTTTACATATACTTGATAATTTAATTTTTTTTTCTTTTAGGGTGCTTTAAAGATGACTTTTACAGTTGATAAGTTTTAAGTGCTAAGCTCTTGTACATGAATTTTGTCCACGGTTGTCCAAGTCTGTGACTTGCTTCTTTCATAGTGAGGGTATACGTTACAGTACAGGTTTGTGAACTAGAGGCAAATAACGTGGTAGATCCCAGAAGTCGTCATAATAACTCCTGTGAAAGAATAATATGCTACATGTTTTTTTTCTTTTTGTAAACCGGCTGAAGACGAAAGTATAGTTTTGTAAGTATTCACTGAGAGTAAAACTGACGTCTGAAATTACTCGTTAGAACAAATTGGAACTTGTTTGAGCCTGTGCGTTCCCATTTGTTTTTGTACTTGAAAGTCAAATTTCGTTTCTCGTATTAGTGTATCATTTTAAGTACTGTGTCATCAAAATTGGACTCAATAAAATTTGAAGACATAAACGTGGTTTATGGTATTCGTTTTCATTTGTCACAAACTTTCAAATTCTTTCCCTCGATTTATGCAATGCTTTTTTACAGTGTATTATCATCAGGAGTGTTCATTTTGCGTCCTTATTTATAAAAATCATCCAAAATTTTAAAAAGGGACGAGCACCCTTGCACTAGGCCTAAAGGGTAATATGAATCTTGTAGAGTACGCTGTTACAGAGGTATTTTGAGGTTATCTCTTGTTTTTTCAAAAGACTCTTGGTACCTGCTGCACAATATACTAACGAAGTATCAGTTCACTATCAACAGAGGGATCCCAATACGGCGCTTTTAGCGTCGATCTGCGCTTTTCCACGTTTGAAAACGAGGCTGTATGTGTTAGCTTCAATTCTTAATACGATCAGACGATGGAAAGTAAGGATTCAAGATACAAATTACATAAAGGTATGTTAAATTAAGACTTTCTAGGCTTCAAATTTTTGTGGAAGAGTCTTTCAGGATGACTCAACACATAACATCAAAAGAAAAAATAACTAACGTACCGGCGATGGTCGTGTATCTTGTGCAGGGGGCGAAATTTAAACTTAAGTGGCGCCACACTTACGAACTGGATACTACATGTACTGTGGCGACTCCGCGGGCTCGCGCGAAAAAGTTTAACACAGGGAGCCTCGGTTTCGATGCGGATATGCGCAGATGGAGCTAATGTGAAATCCCTCTATAGGCAAAATCAGTTTGAGTTTTGACCACAGAAAGACTGTTGTTAGGCTCTTAATTAATTGCAATGTGCGTAAAAAGTCTAGAAAGACTGTGGACTCAACCTCAACGCTTCTCTCTACAAAACAAGAATAATTGGAATTACATGTGGTCACTGATGTCTAGTGTATCCAATACTGAGGGCCTTGAAAAACCAAAGAGTTTAAAATCCAGTTTGTAAATCTTCCACAGTTTGGAAAGATTTTCCTTGCTGATATTAGCAAAATATTGATCGTAGAACACCTTGCTCCCGGTCGCAACGGATGAGGGGTATGACACTCTATCTAGTCCTAAAACAGCTAGCATGTATGCTGAATCCGTTGAAGCAGTTTCAAGATTTCCAATGAAATCATAATAAATTCTACACGGAAAGCACAATTTATAGAATTCCATCCAGTGCTGGTTAAATCCGTTTAACTCGGAAGGATCTGTTAAATAGCTTATCCACTCATCCCATGTGACGTTATAATTCCCTTCTGCCTCCAGCTCGTGAAGGAGCGCCCCCTTTCGGTACTTGCTCACAATCCTTCGTGCGTAACCTCTGAAAACTTTTCCCTGGTGTGAAATGTCTCGGGCAATTTTATTGCGATAAGCTGATATCAAGCGGACGAAAGGATCGCGGACATACATAAACTTTGGATAAGTCTCAAGGATATATTCTCGATCTCGCGGACGCATGGATGACAAATTTCTGATATGATTATGTTGGTGAGCTTCATAACCGGTGATGTTCCATACATGTTTCTGATGACCTTCCAAGACCATAAGAACTTTCTTCCAGTTGGTACAACCAGCCTATCAAAAGATGAACAAACTGGTTTGTAATTTGATAAGCTTTTGTGCACAAATCGGAGGAGTTTTGCATGAGGAAGACTGCACAAAAATGTATTCTTTCAATTTAGAATGACTGTCCATGCACAGGTTCAAATAAAATATGTGTAGAGGTGTTTAATTAGACTATATTGTACCCGCTACCTTTGGAACAGCGCAGTAAAGCAACCTGGTTTTGTCCGTGGCGAAGAGCAGACGTGTGTTTCTACTTGTTAACTGTACATCGGTCAACTGGGGATGTTTTCTGCACACATCCTGTAGTGTCCTCTTGCGTTTGCGTTGAACAACAGCTTGTTGTTGCATAAAACTACTGTCCGGCCGTAGGTCAAAACTCTTCGTTAAAATACACAAAAATGAAACTCCAAGTACTTCTTTGTCACTTCTGTTAAAACTTGAAAGGGATCCTGCGAGTTACAACAGGAAAAATCACCTTATATAAAAGTTAGTTATAATCTTGCATCATGATTATAAAGAAAGACATTATAAGTACCAAAACCCTTTCCGTTCGTACTTTTTTTGATTAAATTAATTGTTACCTCATTACTAGATTGTTTCTGTGAATGGAGCCAGTCCTCGTACTGGTGCTTAATGTAAGTATTTTTGAATTCTTCCTGGTGCGATCGAGTCGTTGGTTGGCGAGATTCCCCTCGCAACCTCCAGTTTAGAGATATCCTCTGAGCTTTACCGTGAGATATTTCTGTGTTAAAATGAAGACATAAAATAAACATGGCTGTGACTTTAAAACTACATGCATTGCAATACGCAGGAAGGGACAGCCTGGCCGGCAAGGGTTTAGGGGACAATTTCTTTTGTTAAAAAGTCTTGGAGTGGATTGGGGTTAAAGGACTTTCGGAACACATATGTGTGTTTCCCCATTTGGAAAGGAAAATGGGAAGGAAAACTGAGGGATGCAGGGTAACATTTGCTTTAAGTGTTATGTTTACCATATATTATACCTACCGTGCTGATACGTGTCCAGGAGACAGAGAAATAATATAAGTGTTATGTTTACCATATATTATACCTACCGTGCTGATACGTGTCCAGGAGACAGAGAAATAATATAAGTGTTATGTTTACCATATATTATACCTACCGTGCTGATACGTGTCCAGGAGACAGAGAAATAATATAAGCACCAAACATATAGAAGAGAAGATCACCATAAGTCGGCGATACGTAAAACGGGGAAGACGATTCAGCAGTTTTATCGATACCTAAAAAAGGGGAAAAAAGCAACTTGGTTATAACAGTTTGAAATTTATGTCAATTAACTGATGTAAGCGCACTTGCCTAGTAAAGCCTTTAGTCGGTCATGATTAAATTCTGACCAAATACTTATTGTTTAACCACTATCAGAAACGAGAATTTCGAGATTTGAAAGAAGTCTGTATATGTAAACCTTGCACAATGAAAGTCACAAGTAATAACCCTGCGATCCTTTATAAGCACGTTTTAATTGGACTAACAAAACCTGACCCCGGTGATGGCTTTTGGGTCAATCCAGAGGTATTTCCATGGATATTTCCATCAGTCCCTTTTATTGTGGGAAGTATTACGCCATTCACGGGAAAGCGGCTCTTTACAAATTTACAGTTCCTACCGCCATGTACAATAGGTGCACCTTGCCAAATGAACAACGGTGACAGCATTTGGTCACACCGCTCCACAGTCAGACAGATTCGCCTGTGTATAATACGACACAACTGAGACTTACAGTGCCGCTGTTGCGTGAAAACACCTTGGGCCTTTGTCCGCGAGTTGGGTAGTCCTGCATTGTGGTCTTTTCTTAGAGTGGACTGTTATCCTCCAAATTCACAAAACCGAATACTTACCACTTCCCGCACTTGCTCTGTAGTCTGTGTCATTCTTTTTTGACGGGTGTTTCGAAAAAGTGAATGTACGTGAAATTTCTGAAACCACTAGAGTGAAATCTTTACACGAGTGTACAACAAACATAAAACTTGGAAGCACATACATGTACATTGTACAAATGCACACAGCCATCCGCCTTAGTTCATGCGATGCTGAGCACACAATTTTGTGCTACCAAATCATCCACATACTGACATAGCTCCGTGGTACCACCGAGAGCAGAAGGAGGACATTCACGATGGTAGCATTCACGGTAGTCACTGACCCATGGAGGGCAGCTACATGTAAATACATGTACATGTACTTCCCTCGCTAAGCTGTAAAGCAAGTGGGGAGCGTTTTGTTGGGTCAGTTGACGAGTATGAAAAAAGGGGCAGGGAAGTTACGCGCTAAAAATAAGTAAACACCAATATACAGAGGCTGTAGCCTCTGTGTATTGTATCGCATTGGTAAAATTCAAAGCTTTCCCAAAACAATCGGGGAGTCAGAAAGAGATGCTTAAGTAATTTTAACGTCGTCTTATGTGTGTGTTATGTGTCCTACCTTAGACACAAGACACCACACACACAATGCTTTCTACTCCTGGCCCTCTCTAGGTATCCACTTCGTCGTGAAAACTCTAATTTTTAAAGCCTCGTTTTCCGTCGCTGTATGGACGATATGCATGCAGGATTGATTGCAACTTATCACAACAGATTAATTTTTATATTATTGACGAAAGAGTTGAAAAACTCTTTCTATAAAGTTTTAAAAATCGATAAAAAAACCTTTTGCCAACAGGTTGGAAACGTCGACCGTGGCTCATACTTTTTGAATTTCAGTTTTTGTTGTGGTTTATATAGCTTTGCTTTTGCTTTATGCTTGATTTTGTTAATCAAGTTTGCAAAGAGCAAACGAACAGCCCGATAGGAAGGTGAGCGATAAGTGGTACATGTATATTGAAACATGAACGACTTATAAAAATCATACCTCACCGTGTTGTGGCCAATCAATGGTCTGTAGGTATGACGTCATAGACCGACTGAGATGGTTAAACGCTTCCTCGTCGTGCCTTCGACTGTAATACTATCCGCGGGGTGCTGCGTGGAGAGGTGGTTTTTGAAAATCAAAGAGCATACCGAGCGGTTTTTGCCTTGAGTAACGTTGCACTGCATACCACCCACTTTCCGTTGAGTATTCGGTTACAATAGCGCCCAGGTACAACATAACGCATGCAAAGATTTTCTAAAATCTTAAAGTTGCTCTCAGTTGCCTAACAGAGCCGCAGTGAAGTACACATGTAGTTTCAGATGGACTTCGCATTTCACACAATAATTTGGAAATGCAGAAGGAACAGATGGTTTTCATAGCTATTTTCAACCTCGAAGTTGAATCGACGTGCTGCTCCAACTGACCTTCAACCTCTTACCATACTGCGTCTGAATCTGGACATGTGTACATGTATGAAACTATAATTCACGCATAGGCGGTCGTAAAACTGGAGACAGGCTGCGTTGAAATTCAGACTTAGTCAAGTGAATGCCTTGAGAAATCAGACTAATTTAGATTCCATTGAAATTACTCAAAATTCTGACTTCGACTATTAATATAGTCCGGTATTAGCCCAAGAGTGACTGATATCACGGATTTGTTGTCAAGATAAAATATTGCTTTTAAAACATTGGACTTGCCCAGTTTCCCAGAAAACCAACGATTTTGTTTTTTGTCCCCCCCCAAAAAAAAAAATCTACTTCACTGTTTTCTGAGCAAACCCCCATATTACTGCATTGTAGACGTTAGGTCTCCAACTTACTTATGATCTCACGAGGATTCCAAATAAAGGTCAGCATTAAGCAAACCTGATGTAAACAAAAAACAAAAAGAAGTTTACCAGTGTCTTGAGCTTTATACTTGCAGGGTCCAGCTTTTGATAGCAACTGTGTGGAATCAGCTTATTTCTGAAACAATGCCCACCAGTGACGTAAATCTTACCCGGAGGTTGGGGAGATGGGGATGGGGAATGGTTGGGGGATGACATGCTTGGCCATGCTAGAAAAGCGAATGGTGGTAAAATGACACCAAATAACATTTGAGGGCGATGTTCATCATGCAGATCTGTAATATGCATTACAGACCTGTTTATCTTACAGAACGGTATTTATGACTCTATATTGTTCTCCCTTTTGAGCGCGATTAAATACGCTACAGCGCGGTTGTTGGGAAGTTCGAAATTCTTCGCAGTTCCCCGTAATGTTTATCTCACCACGAAAAGGGGGGTGATTATGCAATACCCCCCCCAAAAAAAGTGGGGGTTACCTGCTTTCCCCCACACTGTTTCGTTGCAAGCAAAAAATTAAAGGGGATTGTGGTGACTTTTCGAACTTCTCAACGACAAAAAATCACTCAAAAAGGGAAAACAATAGTAAGGCCAACATGCCATTCTGGTGTAAGATGCTGCATGATTGTACACCTGTATCGTGATAGCCCCCCCCCCAAAAAAAAGCATGTTTTATGAGCACGAGTTGATCGTTAAAATCAGGTTGATCACTGTATCGGGTAGGATCGATCTTGTGCGGTATCCTGTCCAGAAATAGTAAAGCATTTTGCAAATATAGCAAGTCTCGTTAAAAAAAGATACAGATAGTTGAAAATTTTGTACTTTAGCACGCAACTTACATTATTCCTGGCCTTTTCCCTAGAAAATATTATCGGGGATGACGAAGGGGCAGCCCGGGGCCCCGATTCACCACAAGATTGATTTTTCCCCAGGTTGACCTCAACGCTGCTTTTCTGTTAGACAAAGGGGTGAGATTTTTAACCCCGGGTTGGAAATCTTGGCCCTCCGGGTTGGAAAACGGTGGTGTTTTGTGTTGAGGCTGTGGACATTTCTTGCATAAAGGTCATTGTATGGTGTACACTTCAACACAAATTTATTTGCATTTAGATTGTAGACGCCTGAAACATTATAATTATCCACATTGTTGTTTTTTTTTTCTTTTTTTTTTCTCATGTACTGTAGTGTTACCTTTTTTATTAAGTTCCAAAAATTGCAAGCTGGTAACCGCAGACTTCCAGTAATAGAAGTAAAATGTAAGCTGTTAAAGTGATTTTTCAAAAACAACTTCTGGAACAAATGACTTTACGCCTGACGGTCTAAAAATAAGTACTTGCACCGGGTTGATTCCGCAGTACAAGTGTAAATCGACTGAGTTTATCTCAAGGTTGAGTGAAATAAGCAAGGTTTAACACAAGGTGGAATGAAGGGTTGGAAGATACACAACAATGCAGAAGCCCAGGGTTCACCTAGGATTGAGTTCAACCTGAGGGACTAGTGTGTGACAAAATACAGCGATTAAACAAAGAGGAAGAATTTCATATATACTCAGCAAGGTCGCTCTAATTTAAAGAACACGAACAAGGAAACAACGGTGAAGTACACAATGGCTATAAACATTCACTTACCATGTACGGGTGGTAAACGTGTTATTAGCACTGTCAGCTTTCAGAGTACTTTAACCATGGAGGTAAGAAAACCTCCATGATTTTAAATGATGAACATAGAAACATTTTATAGGAAAGGTCTCCCTGTGAATATGAACAATTATGGTATCTGCAAAACGACAATTCCACAACAGTGACGTACGTCGAGTACTCGACTAGTTACTGGAAGTCGGCTAGGTACTGGCGACAGAGGGTCACATCGCGGTTCCTTTAAATGTGACACTCAGAACAGTATACTAGTATCACTACATGCACCTTACTCTAATAAAAATAGACAAACGTGTCTGATTCGTGACTCATGGCCTTCACCTTTACTCACCATATCATCCGATTCGGTCATTTTTTAAAATACCGAGTGCGACAAATCATTGGAGACTATTGAATGTTGACACTAGTTGATAATGGAAGCTCCCATTCGACGTCCGTCTGTACACAGTGCACACAAGCCAGTGGCCTTCGAACCGACACGTTGCAAGGCGTACATGTACGTGTATATGCACATGTGCTTTACATGTACGTGTACAAGTACTGTACGTGTACATGTGCAATGTGCCTGTGAGGTCTCGCCATTTGAAACTGCACAAATTTATCAGTGTGTTCCACCCGCAGGTCACTGATGGTCATGTGTTCTACTTCCCGTTGCGTCGGTTGCATAAACCAAACAGGTCTCTGTCCATCGAATAAATAAACTATCTTGAAGAAACTCTATAGAGTTCGAAGGGGATCATGGACCTGGGACTGCAAGGCATGGCAACAGCATGAACGGCCGGCCCCTTCCACTACAAGTTTTGTGTCACCGTGTACCTCATACTAATACTACTAGATCCTGGAGATCACGCGGCAGATCACCTGGATCACTGATATCGACACGTAGAGTTTAAGGCCTAAATCTATGAAACTTGAATATCTGGGCTAGAGTTTGAAACAGTTTGGAAGTAAAGTTTTCCGACAATTTTTACGTAAAATGGTAAACAAAGCAAAGAATATCATTGGGGAAGGGAGACCCTGTTAGTTGGTCTGTAAAAATACACAAGTGATCTTTATTAGTATGACCATAGAGCTATTGTATGACACAAGTGATCTTTATTAGTACATGTATGACACAAGTGATCTCTATTAGAATGCCAATTCTTACCATGACAGTCTCAACAATTTGCACCCCAATTTTGAAGTAATTCAGACAACACTCGCTCCTAAAAGCATGATTATGATTCAAAGCGGTTATAGCAAAGACCAGGGGTTAAAAGTGGGTGACACAAAAAGCTGTGCAGTACTGAGATGCCAGCGGAATGCTGAAAGTATAAGCTTTGTCACCCAGATCAGAGCTCCAAAGTTGGAAAGTCTTGTGGGAGTTGTAAGTCTTCCTTCCAAACGCCTAACATACTCAGACACAGAATGACAAGAATTAATGCTCTTTCCTGCCTCTCGGTTGGAAGGTGGACAAGCGTGCACGAACGAGCGTGCGATCACATTAATTTTTGGGTCTTTTTTGAAAAATCTAGGAGAGGCGCAATTCCTAGTAGTCCTGAGAATGTGGGTAGAAACATGTTTATGAGGTCATTTTACATAGCGCACCGTAAGCTGCACGCGTCACCCCCCCCCCTGCGCCCCAACTGGGGGTCAGAACAAACCATCAACAGTGGGGGATCATTTCTAAGATATGTTCGAGCAAATCTCCATCCCTCATTTTTCTTTCTTTCGCTCCTTGCCCCCCACGCTTTCTGCGAACTTTCAGTAAAGGTGCTTGAGACCAAGTTCCGCAGTGTTTCCGAAAAGAAAACCTTTTGTGAAGGAAGCACAGATGTGCAGAACATGATAGCATTGGGTTAGTACCTGTGATCAGTGGGAGGAAATATTTTGGTTAGGGTTAGGGTTAGGGTTAGGTTAAGTTGTGACCAGTATTCAATTGTTAACATGAACATCAAAATAATGAGCATTTGACGAAACATACGTTGTTTTGCTCGTCTCGGCACCCTCCGCTAAGCGCGGTCTGTGTCGAATTAACGCGTGTATGTATTCTACTGATGTTTGAAGCATTGGTGTTATTCAGGCTCCAAATCACCCTGAAAACGTTTACGCCTATTGTCTAGCCTTTATGCAGTACATATACTCAAAACGGCAGCTCCATATGTGCATTGTAAGATTATTAAGTGGAAAGGTACTGGCAAAAATTACATCGAAATCTCGTAGTGTACCAGTAGATGAGGGCTTGACATGCTGATAATATGTAGTGTTGCCCCAACTGGAAAATGGTTTTACTAAGTATATTCATAGACCACCTTGAGGACTGGCCAGCTGACCTCTAGCGTCCAATTGATTTATGGGAGGACAACATCCAGAGTAGACTGGGCCTTCAGTATTCATATGGGTGGTGTTTAAAGGGATTTTCTAAACTGCCACTTACAGATACATCTGAGAATGACCACACACTGAATAGGATTTATGAAGATACTGAATGATATTTGCTGCGGCGGGATTCCAATTTCACACCGCTGCGAGATAGTATAACTCGCCGCGGCGAAATAGACATTCAACGATCTAACTCAGTCTTCGCGGCGAGATAATGAGCCACCGCGGGGAGATAGGAGCTCAAAAAAATTGCAAGTGGCCCTTATACGCTTCCGTACAATTGGTTATTGTGACTGGTCCATCATTGGTAAAATTCGAGAAGTGCCCACGGTTTTCAAGTTTTGCTCTGTGACAATACGTTGCAGACACCAGATAGAGAGAGGGTGGGTGTTGCATGCTGCTTTACGTAGAGTTTGGCCGGTGACTGGGGAGGTTGAACTTCTCAACCGAGCTCCGCTTGAACAAAAATGTCGAGGTAGTTCCAGTCAATAATTGATCTATTTAAGAAAGAGTTGGTCTGTGTTGCATCAGTATATACTCCAAAGCAATTCGAGTTTGCAGCTTGAACTAACTAGTATATTAAATGAGAGTGAACTGACTTTCTTGGTCTAATTCTTCTGCCTGGTTGTCAGGTTTCTGGTACCTGACCGTGCGTTCAGGTTGCAGACCAATAAATAAGCTGCCGGAGACAACAGTGATAAATGCCCCTTCAAAAAAATCAAGGAAAATAAGCCTGAGTTTCTGTAGGTGCTCGACATGCTTCACAAAGCCCATTTCCTCAACTTTCATTTTCCTTCCAATTTTTATTGGTTGAACAGATAATTTGGGAAGATTTTTTGCTCTGGAGATGATCACCCCTAAAACAGCCATGATGGCCCAACCCCCGGCCCCTCATGCACTCCATTGCAAATAGAGCGATTTGGAAGGCCCTGTCCAATACTTTCAGTGATACAAGCTGACAGTCCTGCTAGTGGATTCCATCTTCCTTATTTTTACAAATCAACCATTCCACCCGCCACGAAATACTCTCAATCAAAGCAGAGACTTTTACAACATACAAATCGCCGGTTTTTCAGTTTGTACAAGCAATATTGGACCACGGTCTGAAAGTGAAACCTTTGTTTAAACATTTGGAGCTTGATTTATTTTTTATTTTATTTTCGTTTGAGAAAACATGGAGCTGTACTTTTAGGCATGTGGTACGCATCATACAAACTTGAAAAAATGCATCGCAGAAAAACGAGCAAAGGGAAAAATCGTCAAAACGAATTGTTTCAAAAAATAAAAACAGATTTAGATTTCATTAGGACGAAATGAAAAATATCTATCTCTAAAAACGACCTGTGAAAAAAAATCTCGTTAAAATGAAGGTGAAAAAAAAATTTACTTGGGAAAACAAACCTAGAAAAATACCTCAATTTTTGAAAGTATATACTTGGTGGCAATATGGGGCTTCCGTAGATTTCCCTAACCGGGTACTGATGGATGTAGCCACAGACATCAATAACCCATAGGGTGCATTCCACCAAATTGTTGTATTTCTGCGTGCGAGCTTATGAATATTTTGTGATCCCACGGGATTTTTAAAATAATACAGGCCATTATCAGGAGGCATCAAACAAATTATTTCTATCAATCCCGAATTTGGGACTGACAGTTTCCACTTGGGGTATTTCTTTGACAAGAAACCCCAAATTGCAGACCTATTTTGGATAGAGGCGGACGGCTACATTCGGAAATGAGTGCTCAGTTTTACTGCTATTTGGGGGTATCTTCGTTCAAAGGCGAATAAAAAAAATCGTGGCTTATCCCCATGAAATTGAAACGAAAAGTGATCTTCTGGCCCTAATCTTGAATTTCTAGTGAAAAAACGGAGGCCAACCTCTTCACGAGAGTCACAGGCGGCGCTATTTCGGTCCGATTTTGTACCGTTTTCTTTGGGCGTGTATTTGGTGTAGTACAACCATAGGGGTGCAGACCACTAATTCAAGTGAGAATTTCTGACCAGCTCATTAGCATTAAAAGTGGCCCCTTCCACAGTATTTTTTGAAAAAAGGAGATTGTTTGGCCCCCAAAATGGTGAGATTGTGTAAATCGTCGCCAGAATCAACTCCCTGGGTCTTTGAGCTTTCATATGAGGGCAGAAGGGCTGAAAACTACGGTTGAAAAATGGTCCTAAGTGCCCGAGAAAGTTGAGGGTTGCCACTTGAAAAATGGCTACAATCAGACTTCGGAAAAATCACTTTGTGGGGGGTGATTTTGTTTTGTGGGAATAATTAAAAATTTAATT